ACGTGATGTTTAATCTTTCAAAGTAAATAGAGTGTAAATTCGTAATAAATATTAAATTGTGTAAAAACTTAAAAACGAACGTAAGTGTCCTGGACAGTGTGCAGTAAAGTTTCATGACGCGCGAAGAAAGTAACGTGAGTAGCCGAAAATTTAGATATTAACAATCGTAGGGAGAGAATCGACTATATTTTTGAATCTTTTGTTTAATAAACATCGAACTTCTCAATTTCTGAATCGAGACTTCAGTCACCGTGAGAAGAGAATTTCGGCGATTTTTGATATTACAAGGAGAAAATCTTAAATCCGTTAAAATAAAAGCAAGATAAAATTCCGCATGCAAGGAATTCAACAATAATCTTGCTTACAATTTTGCGATTATCTCATGTTTTATCAGAATGAGGCACTCTCATGTTATACAGTATAATAGTCAAACAAGAAAATTATCGGCTACATTCTTCTCACGATATATATATGTACTGCACATAGCACACGAACGCTTTCGTTTAGCGTATATAAAATATAAACTCTCGAAAAAAATTTAATTCCCTTTCCTCCGTTGTTTACATTTTTTTGGTTATTGCGTCACAGCAGAATAAATACCAAAAGAATGGTAATTCCTACGTTGAAATAGGTAGACTAGACTATGCTACATCACGATTCCATTTCTTGCTGCGTAACACTGTTTGTTACACGGCGAGATTGAAATCTCTGGATTTGGGAGATCGCCCTCCGAATTGCTATTTATAAAAAGCGCAGGATTTGTTCTTGTAACGTGATCTCTACCGTGTACTCTTCTAAAGTAAAATATTAGTCTTTCACGATTAATATTTTTTGTCGAGAAACGCGTCTTTTCAATTAGGCGAATAGCAAAATCGTTATAAATAATAAAAATCTCGCTTATAAAAGATGCTCCTCTGCACGATTCTAATTCCTCAGTCTCTAACGCTACTATAATTCTATCTATTAAACGTGTACGAAAGTTAACAGTTGTTGTCTTTCAATGTGTAATTTCAACAAGTCGATCTTATCTCTTTTTTTTTTGCCATTAACAATTAACGTAACATTCTTGCGCTTGTCGACATTGTCTCGCGACAGAATGTTATACAAATCGCGTGCGTGCCGTACAGTATCGATGCGGTTCGCATATACGACGTGTAATCGATCGAAAAGACAATTGATTGCAAAATGATTGCGTATACGATAATTTTTATGAATAAATAAAACATTTTTCACTCTAATGACTAGCGTATCGATTGTATAAAGCGCACATCCAACAATTCTTTTTAGATGTATCTCCTCGACGAAGACATTTCTTCCTCGAGATATTGTCAATGAAATTCTTCGACGTACGCTTTACTTCTTTTTCCCTTGAAGAAAATATTTTCTTTTTCTTATCTTCTTAATCTTCCTTTTTCAAATTTCTTACGATCGACAAGACGTTACAGCACACATACATACACACGCGCGCGCGCGCGCATACACACACACACACACACACACACACATGCACACATACACACACGTGTTCTCTGAAACCTTATCACCAGGGTGGGAGAAGATAATGGGAGGAAGACGACAAATTGACTTCCGGTTTCACTCGGGATCGATTTCCGCTTCGCCGATCGGCAATATTGCAACGGGACCAGCAGCTGCTAGCTTGGCTTTGTACGCCTCCGGTTCGAACCAGCGAATCGGTGCCTGTCAAGAAAGAGAGATTAGTTCTCGGATGAGTCTTGCAATATAAATAAGAAAGCATTAATCCCTTTACCTTACCTTGTTATAAGCAGCATGCTTCGATTCAGTTGGAAAGCCAAGTGTTAAATTATGTGTGGGCACATGCAGGCAATAATCATAAGTTTACACACATTTGTAAGCGTAGTTTATACGATGTCTTTCTAATCTGGTGATTGACACGTATAAAAATATTGTATTTTGGAAGGTTAGTAAATTGGTTTCTTTTTCGCCATTCAATGTCAAAATGTGCCCATCAATAGATTATTTTATGGTTTAATTTATTCCTTATCTCTAATTCTAAGATCTAAGAACTAAGAAAGTAAGTTTCTTAAAAAATCTTAATAAATTCAAAATAATTATTTAAACAATTAACTCAATGTCTAGATGATTTTTAGATATTTTTTAAATATATATATTTCAAAAGACATTTTTATGTCTTTATGACTTCTTTAAGACATATATATCGTCTAAGAAGTAATCATTCTCAAATTAAGCAAGTATGCCAATTTACAAAGCATCGTATGAACTGCGCTTGTCCTGGTTTACAAAGAAACACGCAGAGAGCAAGACTCAGCGATTTTGCAATACTCATTTATTAATACAGCGTGTATGTGAGTTTAACACAACACTAGTCTTATTAGTCTAGTCTTATTAGCCTCTTTGTATATAAGATCAAATAAAATAATCTCATGTTCAAATGATTTCTTAACAAAGTTTTCAGAACAAGAAAGAAAGAGAAAGAGAAAGAAAGAGAGAAACAAAAATATAAAAAAATAAATTTTTCACAATAATGAACAACTAACACAATATATATAACAGGAAAAACAGTTTAAAAACATGTCGTAGTATATATATCTCTAAATTCGAAATATAGGAACATAGACTTTCGAATTTCAATGCAAAGAATATATAAAACTGTACGTCAAATACTGGATACTCATTGACTGTTTCACACTGTTGCACGCAACAAACTAATCGAATCTTGATTAGCTTCTCAAGCTAAAATGTCTTTTAATTACATTTCGTGATCGTAATGATTTGTACGAATTCAATCAGTCAATTAATCGCGGGAGTTCAACATGTAAAAAAAGTATTTTTGAGAAACAAATCGTAAACAACGTAAAAAAGAAATATATATATATATATAT